CCATCCTCTCTTCAGCCAAGAAAATTCATCTTAAATCTCCCCTTATACTTACATCATCTCCATCTCTTTCTATTCTTCGTAATATCATTTGTTATAAATCTCCACTCCCACTAACTCCTTTATCTGTTTCGTCGTCTTCGTCTCTTACTACAAGAGTTCCTGAGTCTGCTAGGTTTTCGGTATCTAGGTCAGATAAAACGCGGCTCTTTTCTTGTTTTCGGGAGGTAAACTCTGGTAATGATCTGGAGGAGGTGGCTGCTTGTGCCAATTGGTACGCGTTTCTCCTGGCGTTAAGTACTTCTTCGCCCACAGCTGTATATTCTGGAGTTTCTACTGGAGTCGGAAGGGTTCGATCTTGTAGGATTTCTCCTTCTTCTAGACTGCTAGTTGACGCGGTACTGGAGGGTTTTGAGGTTTGTTTTGAGCTTCCTTGGGTAAAGAGATACCCTACTGCTGCTCTTACTCTGGTTCCAAGTGGTTGGGTACTAAATTGATTTTCCCTTTTGAGTGCGTTCTGAATGTATGTGGCTACTTCGTCCGAATAATCTTGTAACAGAGAACTAGGCGGATGACTACCTATATCGGAGAATGGAAGGTCAAATTCTGACAAATTTAGTAATTTTTGTGCAAAGCTCTTTGGATTTTTGGGTATTATTCTGAACGCGATTTGCCTAAGGAATTTTATGAGATTTTCTTCGGTCCTTTCTTGAGTAAACTGATCGAACGCTTCTGCAGCCGGTTCGGCGTAGACTGGTTCGAGCGAATTAACTGTTTGCCGGAATTGAATAAATTCACCGCTTACTCCTTGTATAGGGAAACGCTCGTTGCAGGCTGGGCTCGGAAATTTTCTCAGTACTACTTCTTCGATCGAGGAATTTGCTGGGAGTTTCTGATGCGCGAAATAATGTTTGAGATGACGCGCTCTATTGTGAATGAAAGTCCTTTGAATGAGTCCTTCTCCACGGTTGCAATTGTATCGGTAGTAAGTTTTCGTATTTTCTTGCTGTGTGGGTGTTTATTCCACGGAATCCCCACCAACTGTCGAGGCAATAGTCACGGGAGAGCGGATAACTACTGTCTCGGTTTGGGATCTAGCTGCGCCGTCGTAGGAGTGTGGCTCACCTCAGCGATAGCTAAATCGTAACAAACAGTTAGTGACCTTTAAAATAGGCTTTTCAGTGCTGACGTATCCCTGTACGTGTGGCACACACTAATCCTGGATAATTAACTACTCTCGAGAACAAAACTACTCTCTACCGTTGGATTAGTTCGGTAGTCTGTAGGGTGGGGTCTTAACAAGAGAAAATACTGCGCGCTGATAGTAATTAACTTATCCTAATTGCCACTCAATCGATCACGAGACAAGTATTATGACCGATCTTGCCGTTATACGGATTAATGCTTTAAAAAATATAACGGAAAATTCAAGGAAAAGAATTTATCGTTTCTGAGTAAATGGATACTCAGTTATTTAACAAGAAGTAAAATATAAAGGGTATCGAACGTCTTCGATAGGAAATATCGTAGCGAACACTTAATTCTGAACACTGAGAACACATCGATGCTAAGTCTATTCTACGCTGCTTTTATATCTTTCGGACTGACTAATTAATCTATTTTTAGCATCAGACCACTTATTAGCTAATTACTAATTACTCTCTAAATCTATCGCTATTCTCTCTTTGACTATTATACTCTGCTGTTAATGCGCTGCTAAGGTGCTGCTAATGCGCTGCTAGTGCGACATTCTTAAATTAGTACGACCGCTTCTAGTACTACTGTTATTCTTAGTACCACCGTTACATTTCTATCGTCGATCTCTGAGGTCTTGGTGGCACTAACGGTCCCACAGAAATTTAGGAAGGAATACGTCATCGTATATGCTTGCGTTATCACACCGTATACTCTATTTCTACTCATGCGCGCAAGCAATGTGTTCAATATTACATATAGCGCATGTGTCGTTAATGTTAATAGTTGTGACTAGAAATTTGCACGTTATAATTTGCGATAAATTTATCAAAGACGATTTGTGTGAATTATTCCCCCACAATTACTTTATGTCTGTGTTTATAAATGTGAACAGTAAAATCTGTCGAAAACACCCCACTTTTGCTCAGTTTTGAATATAAATGTTTATTAATGTACAATTTTTGACCGGCAAATTTGTCTAGTGCAGCGGCTAATTGAGGACCAGCATTTTGATAATCTGCTTTTACTTCCTCTAAAAATGTAGTAATTGATTTCAGTGCTTTTTTATTGGATACCCTAGAAGAATTAAAATATTTTTAAAATTGTTTTTCACAAAATTATGAAAATTTTAATACCTCCGCTCAATATTCTTGTCAAGAATATTTTTAGGAAACCTACTTTGCAACGCAGATCCTTGATCCTGTGTAGTGAATTTTGCTCATAATGACGCATAAAAAAAAGTATTTTTTGAGGTATAATTTAATAAAGGTAGTGTGTCAAAACACATTTGCAAACATGCTAAAATACGCATGTCTAAATACAATCTCACTTACCAAGTGCAATGTAGGCATATACCATACGATCTTCAAGTGTATAAAATTAAATATTGCAATATGATATTTGCTTCCTGATTTTTGCAGGGTGTTCCAGATATGCCAATTCACTGTTTACAATATAGAAACGTTATCTTCTCTCGTACAAAGAACTGAAAATTTATTTCTTATGCCTGTTTAATAGAATTCACATTCACTTCTTCCAGCACAGCGCGCGTGGGTAAATATAAAAGAATTGAGGAAGTAGTATATCACTGTCATGTTGTTTTACTTCAGCATGGTTTCCTTCAACTGATTCTGAAATAAGTTTTTGTTGTACTTCAACATTACTTTGTTCATGATTATCCTTAGGTTCCAAGATATAATCATCCCCATTATTATTATTCATAGATTTAAAAATAGTACCATCATCAACTTCACCACTAGCACAAGAATCTTTTAACTCAAGAAAAACATTTGTAAGTGATCTTGGTGCAACCTCAGGGCTTGAGTATGACTCTTCACTAGAATCACTATTATACCCTGTATCACAAATCCTGACCTATGCATTGATATTGAGAATAAGTTAGAAAAATAAAAGCTTTTCTTACTAATACATAGTTATATGTTAACCTTGTTTGGAGGAGTTAATAATTCTTCATTGCTCTTTCTTTTTTCTGCTAAAAGTAGATTACTTTCAATAATGTGCTCTTCTCGTACATTTAATTTTATTTGGTAAGATTCCTGTTTCTAGATTATTTGAATAAACACATTAGTACCATAATAACCATTCCATTAAAAATACAGATAACGCATATATATATATACTAACATCCTTTTCTTTCAATGCATCTTTAATAAATTGAGTTTTATTTTTTTCATTTTGTATATAGATACCGTCCCAGTAGGACACTACTGGGTTGGCGTTGATAAGTTTGTCAAAATTTGCCAACAGTTTCCGAGCTTTCACGTTATTTTCGGATGTGATAATTTTCAATGATTCGTGTAAGACTTCTTCTGCATCCTTCTTTCGAGCAAAAGGGAAGTTTAAATTTTTATAAAACTGGACAGCGTTGAAGTTTTTGTCTGATATAAGATCTTTCAGTTGATCGACATATGCCTGTTGAGAAAGATAAGTTAATAGCCTGAATCAATTTTAACGATGATAAAGAATTGATTGAGACACACCATGTCGCCTATAAAATAAAGAAGAAATACAATATTTATATGACTTTATTTCCAAGCTACGATATCCTGCTACAGGCTCGCTAAAGCTAGTTTTAACATGACAAGTCAGAGGTGAAAT